GAAACAATTTTGCAAAAGATAGTCGGAATAAACAATAAACGTAAGTTTTTCTAAGCATATTAGTTTTTTTTTCTTTAATGTCATTATGACAAACGAATTTTTTACGTAATGTAAGAACCGAAACGTGAAATAAAATGAATAGATAACGCAATGAAAATTATAGATAGAAAGATATTTTTGGGTTTAATCTTAAAAACTCGATGACTCGAAATTATCGAATTAAAATATATGCAACGAGATTCATAGAGTACCTAATTATTATATTATAAATACTATGTATATATATATATACACCGTATTTAATTTATATATATATATATATATATATATATATATATATATATATATATAGTTACAATTATATAACAAAATTATTTACAATTATAAAAATATATACTTTTAGGTATATATCAATATATCATCGACGTAAATATCTAATTATTACAAATATTAAATATAAAGAGAAAAAAAATTGGAAAACTTTTTAAGTTAAAATACAATGATTATATTTAATAAATTAATTTTAAATGTTAATTATTTAACATTTGCATAGATAAATTGAAATCTTACGTCTTACGATGATGATCGTTTCGTTATTTCTTTTTCTTTTTTTACGTTAGAAAATTTAGACTTGCGACAATATAAAATGATTTTTTTTTCTTTATATTAATAACGCAACAAATTTTATCAAATTTTTTTTTATGGATTAAGTCACAGATAATATCGTTAAAATCGATAAGAACAACGACGATGATGACGATGATGACGACGACGACGAGGACGACGATGATGACGATGACGATGACGATGACAACACAGACGACGAAGAAAAAGAAGATATAGACAGTATTGGGACGCCCATTATTAGCCGGTGATAATTGCTGAAGGGTTGAGTCTTCATTGGGATGAAGCGTACGAGGTCAAAGACTCGAATCAAGATGTACACGCAGTCTCTGCCCTCGTTGTTCATCACGTTCACGTACCGGACTTCATTAAAATCGTCGATTCTCGATTCTTCATTATCATTGTTCGTTGCCTTCATTTTTCTCTTGTTTTTTTTTCTCTCCTTCAGATCCATATCCTTTCTCACAATATTCTTTTTTTGTTTTTTTTTTGTTTTACAATAAGTATTAATTTTAATTAAAGTAATTTAAAGTTATTCCAATAATTCGCTCACATTTCTTGTCTTTCTTACGTTTTCCTTTTGTGTTATATAATATAATACATTAAAAATTATATTATTTCGTCGATAATCAGATCGTATAAATTCAATGTTTTTATGTCATTTTTTTGGAAAAAGATAAATAAAAAAAGAACATTCATCAATTTATGCTTTTTTTTTTTTTTAATTTGATGAAAATGAAAATAAATGTGAAGTAATTGATAATGATCAAATGTGTGTGTGTGTGTGTGTGTGTGTATATATATATATATCTGTTTAAATATAAATAAAATGATAAATTTGGTATCTACATGCAATCAAGCTATAATTTGATCGACGATTATTTCGATAAAATTATCACATTCAATACAATCAAAGCTATCGTAAATTATATCTACGATAATGAGAATGGTAAACATGCAAAAGAAAGTGCATTTAATTAATGGATCGATAAACTTTCACAACGCTACACGAATCACAAATTTTATATTACAAAGTAATAATATTTCCAACCGAATTGTGTAAAAATATCATATAATAAAATCAACATTTATTGTTCGTTCAACATCGTTAAATTATTCAATTCAAATGATTCAAATTTTAAGGGCCAAGCGAAAAATTGACTATTGAGAGAGTGTTATCACGTTTATAATTTCCGTGGGTAAATTTAAATGAAATAATAATAAAATTGTGTTTACACGATATGTGCGTAAACCGTAAGATTTTCAATTGTGCGAAAACCATAAGATTTCAAAATTGAAAATTTATTAATTTGACTAATAATTTCTTTTTCTTTTTTTTTTTCTTTCTTGTTCCTTTTTTTTGTGCAATTATCACTCTTTTTTTAACGTAGACATGGAAAGAAAGAAAAAAAGAAAAAACAAATACAAGAAAAAAAAGAAAGCAAAAAATAGTGGAATCTTTCTCTTTCTTCATCCGTCTCTCTCTCTCCCTCTCTCTCTCTCTCTCTCTCTCTCTTCGTTTTTTTCTTCCGCACATTTAAAGTGTCGAAAGGAGCAGCATCGACGTCGAGGACCATCAATGGTGGCGGCGACAGGAGAGATGTCGTACCAGATAGTGCATTTACAGTATTCAGGGCCCGTGTAAACGCGCATCTGGCACGAGCCCCAACTGCCCTGTTAATCTCTTATTCGCTCGCTTCCGTTTGTTTGTGCTCTTTTCTTTACTTCTCTTTCTCACTCTCTCTCTCTCTCTCTCTCTCTCTCTCTCTCTCTCTCTCTCTCTCTCTTTCGCTCTCCTTTCTCTCTTTTTTTATAATCTAGTTTTCTCTGACCATCTCGTTATTCCAAACTTTTTGATCCTTCTTTTTATTTGCCATTTAATTTCTCACCTGTTACTTTAATCTTTACTCTCTCCTTTCTACTAACCCTTTTCCCAACATCCCTTACTTTCCTTCCTCCCGCCCTTCCTTCCTTCTTGCTATTTCAAATCTTTTTCAAACTTTTTTCCTTCGTAATTTCGTTTGAGGTCTGATTTCGATTTGAGGAATTAAAATGAATTGGTTTATTATTTTTTTTTTTTTTTGTAAAGATTCGTTCTATTTAATAATATCACGGTATAAAGATAATAGTATAACTATTAATGATAATAGTATAACTATTATAACTAATTAATTATATAAATGTTTGAAAAAAACAAAAAAAAAAAAAAAATAAATAAAAAGAGGAGTGAATTGGACGATACTTTCGTATTGATTTGTCTGTCTGCCATTTAATAAAAATATCACAGAAGTACAGACATCTAAATAATTTATTTAATTCTACATACTCTACGACTTAAATTCGATTATATGTTTTTGCCTACGGATTTGTCTGTTTTAATGATCCTGTCAGAAGGATAAATTTTAATAATATTGTTGATTAGACAAGTATTTCTTGTGTTCATCCAACGTAAAATAAATTATTATTTCCTTTTTTGTTGTTTCACAACAAATTTTTACAGACAATAAAAATATCGATTTATTATATTTTTTACGTGTACAGTCGATTTAAACGACATATATATATATATATATATATATATATATATATATATATATATATATATAGCAGTTCATTCTTTTGTTTGTTGTTTTTGTAAAAATTTCAAGAGCGCCTAGAAAATTACTATAGAAAAATAATAGGCGTTTCGTTCGTTCATTTATACCAGTTAAAATTTTCATCCCGTTAGTAGTCAAAGCGTACACAATCCAGCTCACACTACTAAAAAGCCCGTAAACACGGTGAAATCGCGTGACAAATTCCAATTGTTTCGACGAATAGGTACGCCATCAACGAGTGAGTAATTACTTTTCGCGATACGACGTTCACTATACGTGTTCGAGATGTTTGAAAGCTCGTAAACGAAGCATCAACGGACTTTGAAATATTCTTCGAATGTGTTCCTGGCACATTGTTTTATCACTTCAACGATGCTTTTGTTTTTTTCTCTCTTTCTCTTTCTCTCTCTCTCTCTCTCTCTCTCTCTCTCTCTCTCTCTCTCTCTCTCTATTTCAAGTGCACGTGCACTCCGTCGATTATTCATAATTACCATATAAATTTATCGGAACTCTTGAACATTTTTTGCTTTTTCTGTCATTATCTATTTTTAAGAATTTCAACTATTGGAAGATGTATATAATTAGAAGATATGATTATAAGAAATTAAAGTACATCATTTATCTTTATCGTTATTTTTATCCAAGATTTAATTTAAGAAAAGAAAAAGAGAAAAATGTATTTTATTTCTGTCCGTCTATGCGTTCGTGTGTACGTATAAGTTTTTTCAAACATTATTTCTTGTTTTTTTTTTCTTCACGAAACAAAATTCTCGAAAATATGCAATATATAATTTGAAAAAGAAATATTTATGTATCTTTATTTCCATATTCTTACTTTCAAATTTTGTTTTCACGTAGAAGAACAGAATTGGTATAATTCTCGAGGAATTATAATTCAAAAAAATAAATAAATAAACAAAAAAGAAATAAATAAACAAATAATTTATTTCGATGTATTCTCTTTCTCTCTTTTTTATTGTTTTATCACAAATTTTATTTTCTCTTCGTTGAATTAACAAAAAGCCGAACACGATATGTATACCTTCTGGTTACGCGGTAAGCACACGTAGCGAAAACTCAGGGAAGAAGATTTTTATACCGAAATGGTGTCAGCTGATGCTATTTTCCTCTCGACAAAGCGCGCAACGAGAAGACGACGTTCTAATAATAATCCCAACTAAACTCTCCCTGGTACCTGGACGACATATTCGCGTTGGCTTTTCTCTCTCTCTTTCTCTCTCTTTCTCTTTCTCTTTCTCTCTCTCTCTCTCTCTCTCTCTCTCTCTCTCTCTCTCTCTCTCTCTCTCTCTCTCTCTCTCTCTCTTTCTGAACCCTTAGACCCACATCCCTTTCTAATCGTAACAGAAAATATTGATGAGAGAAGAAAGAAAGAAAAAAAGAAAAGAAAAACAGAAAAACGCCTTTAGTTTGATCAAACGTCCTTGTGCAGGAAATATATTTTTGATACGTCATTGAATCGATAAAAAAATGGTCATTAGGAGAATATATAACACGCCTAAAGCAATCATCTAACAACTCATTAACAAAATGGACGAATAACCGTAATTAATCTTATCGGACGATATGCGAATGAATTTTAATTATCTAAAAGTTTTTCGAAGATAATAAAGTCAATAAGTTAATTAAAACTTTCTATCCGACTATTTCCTTCCTTAATTACGTTTACGTTTAATATTCGTCGTTTATTGAAATTCTTATTGATCGAATAATCGTCCCTCCCTCTCTCTCTCTCTCTCTCTCTCTCTCTCTCTCTCTCTCTCTCTCTCTCTCTCTCTCTCTCTCTCTCTCTCTCTCTCTCTTTCTTTTTCTCTCGATCTTACACACGGAACGAAGGAAAATTCGATTTTGTTGAATTTATAATCCCATCGACAGTTTCACACCGCGGTCTAGTTCGCGATACGTATACTCGAACTGACGTAAATGCAGTTCTCTCAAATCGGTTGCATAAACACAAATAAGAGAGGGCACCTTTTGCAAAGAGAACTTCTCGGAGCTCTCTTAATAAGCTGGATGCCGACCAAAGTGAACATACTACGTCTATGAAATATATGTTTGTCTTTAACGTACACGTATGTATCTTTATCTTGTCGAGACCCCACCTTGAAGAAGACAAACGTATTCTCTTATCATAACATATACCATAAAAAATGTATATTATATTTCATATAACAAATGTGTATTCCTATCTCTGTTTTAATCAACGTCATCTTATACGTCCAACGAAAAAAGAGAGAGAGAGAGAGAGAGAGAGAGAAAAGATAGATTCATTATCTTAAAAATTTCCAATAGAATATTTCATTATATTCCTATTCGATTTGAAAAAAAAAAAGAAAAAAGAAAAGAAAGAAAAGAAAAATAGCTGTTATTCATGGAGTTTGAGTTCACTATTCCACGGTGTAACTCGGTTACACAATCGTGTTCACGACCTTGGACCATACATCATCGTCAACTACACATTCGCACGCACGCACGCATCCACGCACATATATAACACGTACATATATGAAATCACATAGACACAATCTACGATATTCTAATGAGATAAGCTAATACTGTAATAAAACTAATGGTCGTGGGTACTTTACAATCGCTATTTTATATCGTCCGAGAAAAGAACGATCAATGACGACGACGACGACGACGACGACGACGACGACGACGACGACGACGACGACGATAATAATGACGATGACGATGAAGGAGAGGAAGAGGAAGAAAAAAAAGAAAAGAGGCGCTTTTACATTCCATACGTCGCAATCTAATTGTTACACTCGTTGGTGACGTTGTTATACAATTGCGACCTTCAGAGGGAGAGGCTACGAGAATGATATGTTAAAATAAAACGTTTAGAAACTCAAGGAAAAATAATGTGAATATCGAATATGAAGGTGATCGACTCTCTCTCTTTCCCTCTCTTTCCCTTCCTCTCTCTTTCTCTCTCTCTCTCTTTCTCTCTCTCTTTCTCTCTCTTTCTATGTAAATTACATCGTCGAAATTTACGTAACAAAGAAGTGCATCCGGCGTGACCGGCACGATTGAACTATGTATTCCGATTATTTTATTTTTCTGTCGATTACGCGTCTCGATTCTTTCGATTCTTCAACACTTTCGATTCTTCAAATTCAATCGAAACGAGTTAAATATAGTTCTCTTTAAAATTATAATAATAAAGTACTTAAATTAAATAAAAAGAAAAAAAAAAAAAAGGAAGATAAAAAAAGAAAATGACAATTATTACGACATCGTCGGTAATTTGCAAGAAAAGAATATTTTTATATATATATATATATATATATATATATATATATATATATATATATATTAGGCGAAGAAAGGATCACGATCGAACGTGTTTAACGGGATATAAAAACGGTAATAAAAAAAAATTGCGTGTATTTGAAAAGAAAAAAATAAAAAAAGAAAAGAAAAGAAAATATATCGCTTAGTAAATAATACGAAAGAAAAAAGACAAAAAAAAAAAAAAGAAAAAAAAAAGAAAATAAATAAATAAATACGTAATCGTGCTTGCATTTTATTTCAACTTTGAAAATTTTAATGAGAAAAATATATCGAAGAAAATACGATAAATTTTCGATAGCCGAGAGCGAAATCGATTCCGTATTCAAGAGGTCAATTTCGAGTTTCAAATAACGCGCATTTATGCGGATGTTCGTCGAATGCGATTGAACAAGAATCGAACTCAGACAACATACAGAGAAAGAAAAATAAATATCACGAATACGAACACATAAACATACACGTGCACACAAACACAGACACACACAGACACGAACGCACACACAAATCTTCAAATGATAAAATCGTTTCGTTCTTGTATATACGACGAAAGAAGAGTATGGGAGGCGTGAACGATTCGAAAATATGAATCCAATACGATCATGATCGATGGATGATCATGATCAATCGAAGAATAATAATGATTATTACGTCATTTTTTATATAATAAAAATTCTAGAAAATATTCTCTCTCATTTATGTAAAATCTTGACTTAGCTTAAAAATTTATATATATATAAAAACATACATATACGCGCACACATACACACACGCACACACACACACAAAAATACTATATCTTTCGTAATTTCTCCATAAAACGTAATATTGCTTCTCTCTTTCTTTCTCTTTCTCTTCCGTTTTTCATTTTAATCCCGAACGTAAGTGGCCTCTAATATTATCAAGATTCAAAGAAATTTCACAAGGTAACATAATTTCTCGATGCATACTTGAGAGATACACGCAAATATTATAACTGAGATCCTTCATATAATTTTGCATTAATGTTTAAATACACTTATACTCTTATCTACAATGAGAGAGAGAGAGAGAAAGAGAGAGAGAGAGAGAGAGAGAGGGAGAGAGAGAGAGAGAGAGAAAAAGAGAGAGAAAATAAGAGAAAAAGAGAGAGAAAATAAGAGAAAAATGTTAAGAGAAGAAATCGTACCACAGTTACATCGTCGTAAAAATAAAATCGTAATAAAAGCATTCTTATCTTATCCTCGATCGACTTCTAAATCGTGACGTCCGTATTTTAACCTTCGTTCTAAATTTGATTTGTATAGGTCGCGATACTGAATTGAATGAAGAAATTGAAATCAATGAAATGCGGTATAAATTTAGATAACAATCAAAAAAAAAAAAAAAAGGAAGAAAAAAAGAAAGAAAACAAAGTAAAAGAAAGATAACAAATAATTGAATGACAAATAAATAACAAATAATTGAAACAATTATTCTCCAAAATAATTCCCTTTATCCATATCATAATTTACGTTATTATATATATCTATATAAAGCAGCATGCTATTATATTACTCGTACATCCATACACATTCGATTGATAATCGCGTTATAACGATTAATTATAATAAATAATAATAGAAAAAAACAATTTATATTTTCAATTGAAAATTACACGGATATGAAAGAAATTTGGGCGATCCTAATGCAACACAACAGAACAATAACAATAACAACAACACATCATCGTAAAGATTATATATGGATGATAAGAAACGATGATTCGCGTCGCATGATCGCATACATGCACGATCAATTCTAAGAAGAAAAAAGATATTTTCCTTTGACTCTTTTATCAACACAGAGATACGTGTGTTTTTCATTCACCACCACTATACTACTACCAATATAATTATTATTATTATTATTATTATTATTATTATTATTATTATTATTATTATTATTATTATTATTATTATTATTATTATTATTATTATTACTACTATTTCTACTGCATCGATAATACGATACTGTTTACTAATATATTTGTTTTATTCGATTAGACGAGAAATAATTCCGCGGATGCACGTAACGGGCGACGACTAGTCAACGACTAAAGACCATATCGTCGAATCGGCTAGACTCTATCTAGGCTAGAGGAAAAGTTAGAGGCGACAACAGGATTCTAGAGAGAGAGAGAGAGAGAGAGAGAGAGAGAGAGAGAGAGAGAGAGAGAAAGAGAGAGAACTACTACGTAGTGCACGCTTCGCGGGATTGCACAATAACTATTAACTATTATGTACATCGCGCAACTTAGCCTTTCCGAAAGATAAATTAAAAAGAAGAAGTTCTATATCGATAAAAAAAACCTTTAAAATCCTCCTCCTCCTGCTCCTCTTCTTCTTCTTCTTCTTCATCTACTAGAAAACTACCTCTCTAGATTTATTATCCCTCTTAGCTATCGTTTCCGTGCCAACTGTGACGAGAATGACGACAAGGATGATGATTCGAGTCGCTAAAATCGGGTTCAAGAGAGAAAGAGAGAGAGGAAGAGAGAGGGAGAGAAAGAGAGAGATAAAAGATTACTGCACGCAAGATATATATCTCTTCAAAGCCTCCCCCATCCCCACCACAACCCTTGGCTTTGATCCAAAACACATTCTCTCCTTCTTCGTACGTAATTATTTTACCCTGTACCAAAGTACGTCCTTTTGATCATCATTTTTCTCTATTTTCTTAACGATTCACGGACAATCAAGGACGAGAGTAATTAGATTTTATAAACGATTTCGATAAAAACTTCGATATTTATTTATAATCTTTTTTTTTTTTTTAACTTGATTCGAATTTTTATCGATGGACATTTCGTCCATCAACAATTTCACTCTAATCGCTCATAGTTTAATTCATAGAAATTTGATTTGATCCAACGAGAAGAAAATAATAAATTAATTATTATGATTTGTTCATAACAATGTTATACTCATTAATATTAACAATTTCATCTCGACGATAAAAAAAAGCTCTTTACTTGATAGATGATAAAACCTTTTTTTTTTTTTTATTGATTTAATAACAAATTTTAATAATAGTTATAACATCTTGGGTATCGATTTAATTAGAAACAAATTTTCCAAGTCATCTTCGATTTAATATCATTTTTCTGTTAAATTATGTATTAATAAAATCGCGTTTGAGGTAAATTAAATACTCTGAATAATTTGCAAACTTCATTAAATATCGTATAAAATCTATCCTTAACGAGTTAGATTTATATTCCGTAGTTGATTCCGTAATGTTTAGCATGATTTAGAAATACACGATGAGTTTTTGTCTGTCTATCGGTCTGTCTGTCTGTCTGTCTGTCTATCTGACTGACTTACGTCGAGTGTACCCAAGACAGGCTAATAAAGCTAACATGAAAAGATAAAAAAACAAATTCTTTCGCGTGAAACTGAAGATAATGTTAAAAAAAAATTCAAAATACGGTAAAATCGAAAAGAGAAAAAGCTTTTTTTTTCTCGAATGAAAGAAAAATCGAGCTTTCCTTTTTCGTCTTTCTTTTCATTTTTATTTCTTTTTTTTTGTGCATTTTCTATTCTTTTTTTTTCTTCTTATTTTTTCTTGTTTTTTTTTTTTTTTCTCGAAGATATTTTGATCATCGCGAACGAACGCACGTGGGAATTGTTTTTAACGCGCGATCATCGTCACCCTTTCTAGACCGAGCAAAGCTAACACACACATACACACATATACACACACGCACACATGTACACGCACACGCACATGGCGGTAACGCTTGTAATTGGACCACTTTGCGGGCTAAACGAGCTTAACGATCGATTCTGCCTTCCGACGTTGATACACATCGCGTGTTCACGATCTTCCGACGAGTGAAATTAATGACATAAAGCTTGTCGACGTTCGAATACGACACGTTTACTCTTTACATTTTTCTATCCCATCTCTTTTAATTTCAAACATTTCGAGAGAGAGAGAGAAAAGAGAGAGAGAGAGAGAGAGAGAGAGAGAAGAGAACTCTATATCCCATCATAGTTAAAAATCTGATTAATATTTCAAGCTCAGGAACGTAAAAAAAAAAAAAAGGACAGAGTTTGACGGAAATCTTAACGATAATCTCTTAATGATAATTTTTCTCTCGATTCGACGAACTCGGTAGGACATTGGAAAGGACACATACACACACACACGCGCGCGCGCACGCACGCACACACACACACTTTTACGAAAGGATCGTCAACGTTATCAGAAATATATCAATCATGAAAAAGCTATGAATAAAAATACGATCTAATGAGAAAGATTGATCGAGATTCGCTATAAAGAAAAAATGAAAGAAAGAAAGAAAAAAAAAAGATAGACAGAAAGAAAGAAATAAAGAAAAAAATAGATAAATGAATGAATGGATGAATAGATGAATAAATAGATCGATAGATAGATAAAGAGAATCGAGAGAAATAATTTCTTTGGTATAACAACTTGATCTATCTAACTAATGATACTAACTAATCGAATGGATTTCAAATCCTCGTAATACACGTTTCGATTCGTTTAAGAAAACACAAAGCGTTGCCTTCTCGGCGACGTCGCGGGACGAACTAGAAGGCGAACGCAACGTAGAGCTTCGATGTTGCGCTTGGCTGGAGTCTCTCTCTCTCTCTCTCTCTCTCTCTCTCTCTCTCTCTCTCTCTCTCTTTCTCTCACTCTTTCACACACATACACATACTCTTTCTTAAAGGGACACTCTTTCTCGATACGAGAAGTAGTTTGCGTTACACAACGCGTTGGCCGAAAATGCTGTGCCAAGTTGCGTGGCTCTGGGCCATCATCGTGGGCACTACTATACATACGAAGTCAAACACGTAACCTCGAATAGTAACAGAGGGTCTCTTTAAAACGCATATATATATATATATATATATATATATATATATATTAAGTTTTTACATATGTATTATGTACATACATGAACGAAAAAGTAGAAGAAGAAAAAGAAGAAGAAGAAGAAGAAGATGAGAGACGAAGAGAAGAAACCTCATTCTCTTACTCTCCTACAAGCTCGTACGGATCGCCTCGTATTTTCGATCTATGCCAAGGGGGTTACAAGTGTATAGATGCAATGGTGGAAGAGGGGGAGGGAATTATGCTTGCGAAAAATATCCAGGATCATTATTTTGTACTTGATTCTCTTATTAAAAAATATCTATTCTCAGTTATTGTTTATTTATTATTATTCTTTTTATTCTTCTTCTTCTTATTTTTTCTCTATCTTTTCTCCCCTTCTTATTTTATATTTTACAATTTATTTTTCTTTCTTTCTTTCTTTCTTTCTTTCTTTCTATTTTTCTGTTCTGTTCTATTCTGTTTTGTTCTGTTTTGTTCTGATTTCTTTATCTTTTTTTTTTCTTTTCTTTTTTTCCTTCTTTTCTTTCCTTTCTTATAAAATAATTGCATTGCACTACGAAATTTGATTGATTAGCTTGAGAGATTAGAAATAATGAAAGATATAAAATAGGGAATTAAAAAGGGTAGGCCGATTACGAGAAATTCCTTGGTGTGTCTATTATCGGATCTGGGCGACTCAGTGGTTTTGCAATATCACGTACCTCTTGTATCTCGAGGATCGTTCGCTAGGGTTGCGTTTTAATGTCCAAGGCTGCAATCTTTTTTCTATTTCTTTTTCTGCTTCTTTTTGGCTAGGTATTACACTTGACTACAGTCACGTGATTCTTTTTTTGGTTCTTTTCTTTTTTTTTTTTTTTTTTTTTTTATATAAGATCCATCGATTTTATCGTTTGATTTATTAAATCTAATGAAAAGTTTTCCGATACGTTTTATTCACAATACTTTTTTATAACTATTAAACTTTATTTATTTTTAAAAATGACCTAAGCTCTAAGCGGACGAAATTTTTTTGAAAGAAATAATGTTTCAAATTGAGAATGAGATCGGTATGGTCAAATGGAAGTTTGCATTTTTAATTGTTTTCAGTTTAATAAAATAAAAATAAAAAAAGAATAAAAAAGAAAAAAAAATAAAAGAGGAAAACTAGCGTTAAAATATTGGATTGGTCTGAATAAATGTTAGAATTTTTATATTATTTTTCGATATTTTTTACTGTAAATAATAATGAATAATTTTTTTTTTTTTTATGAATTTGCAATTTCTTTTTTCTCAATATTTTTTACTGTAAGCGATATGTACGTCACATGCAAATAAATCTTTCAGTATTTTTCAATTTTTTTTATTACTATGGAGTGAAACAAAAAATATATAAATTGAAAAATATTGAAAATTCCGAGATTAATAAATTCTATAAAGCCAATAAATGAAAATATATGGAAAATTTCAATATCACTTATTGTACAATCCAATAGTTGTTAAAACCACGTTCAACGATGATAATATTGAAAGAACTAGAATTACTTTTTAAAATATCAATTTATCACTGCATTTTCAATAAAAAATTTTCTCTACAAAAGGAAAGATCGTTATGGAATTGTAGTAGAACATGAAACGGTTAAATATAAATGGCCAGTTACCGAACGAACGCGAGAAACGATTGGCATTCTCGCTACGCTTTATCATCGAACGAGAAGATAATACCATAATTTAGTTTGCGTAGAAATTAATTTTGAACGGCGTGTACGTGGTGCTTAACGTTCCTATAATGTATGTATATGTGTGTGTATGTACGTACATACGTATGTGCGTGTATACGTATGATATACGTACATACGTATGTATATGTGCATTGTCATTGATCTACTTCAATGTAACCGATAACCGAGTACAAAAATTGTATTCTTATGATTGATTAATCAACAAAGCGAGAACTCTCTCATGCGCTTATTCTCTTTCAAAGATTTTTTCTGAATTATTCATTGTATATTTTACATTTTACACTTTTTCTTTTTTCTCTTTAAATAAATAAATAAATGCTTTGCATTCTTATTATTTAAATCTTATTATTCAATAGTTAATTACCGAAGATGCTGATTAATTCATAAGAAAGATTGATTTACTTTTACGATTAAAAAATTAATGAAACATTTACTTCTTATTTTTTTGTTTGTTTGTTTGAATTTTAATTCTTATATTAATATATATATATGTATGTATGTATAAGAATAAAATATTTATCAAAATTATTTTTAATAATAAAAACAAATTTCTGAAATATACACGTCCACCGATCGAACATT